AAAAAAAAAAAAAAAACCGCGAAAAAAAGGCCTTTTAGGCCATTTTTTCAAAATGGCGGAAAATGCTCACCATATACGCGGTAGGAAACTTCAGATTCGGATTCAGCGACCCCAAAAACATAAAGTAAGCCAAAAAAATCGCTGTGTACCTAAAATTCCAAGTAGACTTACCAGGCGCCTGGACTAATCAGAGTTTTTCAGAGCGAGACCTTGAGACAGAAAAAACGATATAACTTTATTATTCGCAGCCAGACGCAGATGGGACTTGAAAATTCAGAATCTACAGGAAATTTGCAATCATTATCACTTGTCAGGAAAATAGGTTATTTTTGGTTTTTCTTAAAAACGTCTTTAAAGTTTAAATTAGAGGGAAGAATATTAAATTAGAGTACCATTGAAAAACGTGCTCAAAAGTAATGTTTAGAAGTTGAAAAAATAATTTTTACGATTTAATCTTAATTAAATAACTTACCAGGAGTGTTTGTAATCATTTTTATCACCAACCGGACATTTGGTACCGTGTCAATCAGCCTTGATCACTGCTATCACAACACTTGCGCGTCATCGGCTACCAGTCACCGCGCGCGGAGCTTAAATCTCATCACCTCCCCTCACGCCAATTCGATGCAAATCAGTAAACAAACATTGAAAATAATACCACCAATGTCCCCATTTTTCGTATATCTCATTACTTTTTTCATTTAATATGTTCGAAAATTTGACTTATTTCCATTGGACACTGCACTGTGAGACGTAGGGGAAAGGTTCAGGCTGAACCGTTCAGCGCAGCGTCAGTCACCGGGTGGGGAAGAGAGTCCGGGAGGGGACACTTCCCCTCGAGTGAAATAGAAAAAGGCAGAATCCTTCGAAGTTTATATTAATGATACCTTGAACCTTGGACCTTGAACCCTGAGCGATGCAGCGTTCCTCAACTCTTCAAATGAGGAGCCCTTCACGAGCTTTTCCATTGTTTTATTGTTTATTCGAGTCACTCAGGTAGAATCCTACACCTTGACGTTTCTAGCGGAAACGACATATCTCTCACGCTATTAACATTGGACTTAAGTGACATGAGCTTTAAAAGCTCTACAACATTAAAAGTTTGGGGTTTCATAATTTTTTGCTTATCTACATCTACTACAGATGACATACATAAAGATCATCCTTATCGGTCCGGCAGTTCGTCAGAAATAGTGCTTCCAAGATTTTGCTTGTAGCTGCTTAATATAGAGATAAAGATAACAAGTTGAAAGGTCGAAGTTTAGGATGAGTAGGGGGNGGGGGGGGGGTATAGGAAGGTCAATAAATAGGGACTTCATTTCTTTGACAACATCGGTGTCCTTTTTTTTTTCTTTTTCTTTTTTTTGTTTGAACAAAAGGTATAGCATCGGCGTCCTTGGGTTTGTGCAAAAATGCGTAGGTATACTATTTATAGAGGACAGAAACGGACATTACGACACGATGCACTTTTTTTTCCGAGGGCCCTGAAAAAAAACACCACTGTTTTTTATAAACCAACGTTGCCACGTCTATACCAGCAAGGAATATAGAACCAAAGTGGCTACTTCCACTGGGAGGAGAGGGGGAGGGGGAGAGGGGAAGTAATGGGTGCAGGGGAGGGGGAGGCACGGGCCAGGAACGGACGTTATGACACGATGCGTTTTTTTTTTTCCGAGGGCCCTGAAAAAGGAAAACACCACTATTTTTCCCCAGGGCCCTGAAAAAAAAACTCTTATAAACCAACGTTGACACGTCTATACCAGCAAGGGATGTACAGAGTGTTAGAAAAGTCCCCTCCCCCCTCTAACTTTTGACCTAATCGAGGTACAGATTTGAAACTTGGCGACCTACTTTTTGACACCCCTAAAATCTCCGGGGTTCCCCTAGGGGGGGGGGACGGACCCCAACTATTTTTTCAGATGGCAAGACCCCCTTTGTGGTACTTCGCTCGAAAGAGTATAAGAAAGAAAATTTTTAGCGCAAACTCGAAGTGAATATCTCAAACCGTTTCAAAACGGCGGCCGGTTAAAGTTCAAGATGGCCGAAAATTGGCACCGCTTGTTTGTCGATTGATTTGCCTGAAACTCGGTTCATTGGGAGGTATTATAACACCAGATAAACGAATTTGACGTTAGATTTTCAAAAAAACCAAAATTGTCAACATGGCGGCTGGTTTAAGTTCAAAATGGCCGAAAATTGGCATCTCG